TGGAGAGAGGGAACTATTCTCCTTCTTCAAGTCCTTCAGGAATGGACTCAAGGGATCTGTATGAATGTCGCTTAGGTTAGTGTCAATTTGCTCAAGAAAATTCAGAAAACAGTGCTGTTGTTTATTTCCTACTGAAATAGACTGATAGTAACTCTTCATTCTCTTTTTCATGACCAGGACCGAGGATGTTTTCAAACAAAACACAGGAGATGCTGCGAAGAAAAACTGAGCAAGCTGATTTACAACAAGCCATAGAAGTAGAACTCCAGAGAAGAAGGTTCTTGAATCTGCAATTGCCTGACATGGAGCATGAATCTATTCACCATCACCATCGTAGTCCTTCTTTTTCTCCTGCTCATATACCACCTCGTTTTAATAATAGTCTTCTCTTCCAGTCAGAAAACGACAACGAAGAAATCATGGAAGGTTTGTTGTGCTCTCTACATTTAGACTCTCTTTTTCTCGGTCTTTATCCATTCTTTTTCTCTCATTTTATCCTTTGATCAGGCAATAGTGGTAGAAGCAAGAAACAACTTCAGCAAGTAGCAGACAGCAACGAAGAATCTTGTTACAGTAATGAATCCTACAAAGGGTAATTGAGTGATAAGAATCAAGGCTTTTTAGTCTCCTTGTAGTGAAATATGCTACTTTAGGTCTCTTACATAAAGTTTATTTATCATTTCTTAAGGCAAGAGACAAGTCTGGAGAATACTCTTCCTGATAACTTGTTTGGTTCCCCAAAAAAGGCTGGCAAAACCTGCGAAACGGAGTCTGAGACCGAGCAGAAAGCCTCATCGGATCAATCAGCATAGCAATGGGTATGTCCAAGATCCCCCTAAATCAGACATTTTATCTCAATAGTCATCAGCAACATTGTTCCAAGCTTTTTGCAGGTTCACTATAGGCAGAAAGAAACAAGTGTATGGGTGAAAGGTAAGCAAATTCCGCCAGGAAGCAAACTGGAGACTCCTTTAAACCCTTACGTTTTTTTTTGTTGATTGCAGAAAGGTGTAGACTGATAAAAGAAGCAAGTAGAAGATAAAATTTGTCTATATATATAGAAAAAGTTAAAGAGGTGTTAACATGGAACACAGAAGAGAAGGTTACAGAGACAGTTTTAGGATTATATTGTTATCTACAAATAGGATTTTAACAGCTAACCTCAATACTCATATCAACACTATAACACTGAAACTCACAACTAGGTTTCTTTTTGGTAATTTCTTTTTACCTTTTTTTATCGTCGGATCCAAGTTAAAGCTGCATCTGTTACTTACCAGTTACCATGATTGTATGATATGCATCTGTTTTGCTTAGAGCTCCCTTGAAGACGAAGAATACTCAAAAAGTGTTTGAAAGGTTGATACTTTTTTTAAGTGAAAGTCCAACGGAACCAAGTTATTGAATAAACCGAAAAAATTGAAATAAACCGGACCGAATCCTCCATAAGTTATTCTCGGTTTATGATTTTGACGCAAACCGATACGATGCAAACTCAAAACTCTCGGATAATATTTAACAGTCAACACAAACCAAAATCATTCTGAGAGAGCACAAAAGAAAGTCAAAAAAATTTCTGTTCGTCGTCTTCTTAATCATTATCTTCTGAGGAAAAGCATAAACTTTCCGGCCGCCATGGTTCCCGGCGACCCAAAGTCGACAATCATTGCAGCTATCGGAAATTTAGAACCAGAGAACGCTTCCAATATCATTGCCTACTTTCTGTTACAGGACTTTAAATACTGTGAATTGATGCGTATGGCTTTTGGATCTAACAATCAGATACTAGATTTCTGTGAAAAAGCTAAATCCGATTTGGGTCTTCCTTCATTTAACCCTGATGAGAGATCCTTTAGTATCCCTGGCCAGCCATTGTCTCCGTATTCCCCAAGAAATGAGGTCTTGGACTTCTCGAGGAACCCTAATAACCCTTTGTCTCCTTCCTTAATCAGAGATAACCCTAACTTCGATTCTAGTCCATTTCATGACGGTTCGTCGCAACAACAACAACAACAGTTGAGTAACCAATTTGACAATTTGCACCAGAGGAGTTTCTCGGCAAATGATGCTTATCTTGGATCAGGGGGTTTTGGCTCTCCATTGTCGAGCATGTAAGATTGGGTTTTTTGGTTTGCTATTTCTTGATATATGTTTGGTTACTAGTAACGAACGACTGAGACTTAACTAAAGAAGTGTACAAGCATTGTAGCTTGAGGCCAGTGTTTTAACTTTGGTGTTCGTTTGTTCTGCTGTTTGATTGTTTCTGTATCAAGAAACACGTTCTGAGCTCTGCGGCTTGGTTTTGCTTATGGTGATTCTTCTTTTAGGCAAGGATCAGGACAGTTTGGAGTAGGAGCTGGTTTTGGGTGGCCGAGTCAGCAACAAAGAATGATTCCTTCTCAGTTCATGGGGGATTTTGACTCTCCAACGTTGAACAGGTAAAATTGGGAATTTTTTTTGTTTGGTTTCTCTTGCTATATGTTTTGTTACTAGTAACGAAAGACAGAGACTTTACAAAAGAAGTATATAGTAGTACTGTAGCTTGAGGCCAACTTTTTTTTTAACTTTGGTGTTGGTTTGTTCTGTTGTTTCTGTATCAAGAAGAAGTTTTGAGATCTGGGGCTTGGTTTTGCTTATGGTGATTCTTCTTTTAGACAAGGATCAGGACAATTTGGTGTAGAAGGTGGTTTTGGGTTGCCGAGTGAGCAACAAAGCATGATTGCTTCTCAGTTCATGGGGAATTTGGAACAGGTAAAATTGGGATTTTTTGTTTGCTTTCTCTAGCTAAATGTTTTGTTACTAGTAACTAGTAAGTAACGAAAGACTGAGACTTTACCAAAGAAGTGTAGTGGCATCATTGTAGCTCGAGACCAGTTTTTTTAACTTTGGTGTTTATGTATCAAGAAGAAGTTTTGAGCTCTGGGGTTTGGTTTTGCTTATGGTGATTCTTCTTATAGCCAAGGATCAGGACAATTTGGACTAAAAGGGGGTTACAGTTACAGTCCAGGAAGGCATGAAAGAAAAGATGTAGTCTCTAAAAAGATTTACTTGACATTTCGATATTGCTCCTTCAGTCCTCAAGACGTCTTTGCTTATTTCAGGTAATACATCTGTTGTGATAAAAATCGGGTTATCTATGTGAGAAAGGCTCTGTTTAGTGTTTCTTGTTTGTTTTGACAGTCGTGGTTTTCTAATGTGTAGCAAATTTGGAGCAGTGGAAAATGTACAAATTCGAAATCAACGGACGTACGGGTTTGTCACTTTCGCTGATGTTCAAACCGTGACAACCATATTGGCTCAAGAAAACCCTCATTTCATCCGTGACTCACATGTCTACGCTAAACCATTCAAGGCGAAAGAAGAATTCCTTCCAAAGTAATGCTTGGCCCTCTTTCTACTTTTCCTCGAGTCTTCTCGTCTCTTGGGTACACTTTCTTATTAGAGTTTGGTGACACAATAGCAGGAGGCAGCAGCAACTACACCAGCTGTTGGACGGAGGGAACTATTCACCTTCTTCAAGTCCTTCACGATCGGACTCAAGGGAACTATATAATTGTCGAGTTGGTTAGTCTCAATTTGTTAAAAGAGACTTCAGAAAACTTAGTGGTTGTTTCTTTCTTACCGACTTAGTAACTCAGTAAATCATCATTCTCTTCTTGATTACCAGGACAAAGGATGTATCCAAACAAGACACAGGAGATGCTGCAAAGAAAAACCGAGCAAGCTGATTTACAAACAGACCATAGAAGTTGAACACCAAAGAAAAAGGTTCTTGAATCTGCCATTGCCTGACATGGAGAATAAATCTATTCGCTCATCGCCAGCATATGAGTGGTAAGAATCAAGACTTTTAAGTCTTCTTGTTACTGCTACTTTAGTTCTTACTGACAGTTTATTTAACATTTTTCCAGGCAAGAGAAGAGTCTGGAGAATGCTCTGGCTGATAGCTTGTTGGATTCCCCAAAAAAAATCTAGTGAACCACCACAAACAAAGTCGGTTACCGAGCAAGCTAAGGAAGTGTTCTCAGATCAATCAGCCTCCCCAAAACAATCAAGTGAAACACCACAAACCAAGTCTGATACCGAGCAAGATAAGGAAGTGTCATTAGATCAATCAGCTTAGCATTGGTAGACAATGGTAGTATAGGCAGAAAGAAACAAGAGCATAAAAAGTTAAAGGTGAGCACTTTCGACCATGAAAACAACCTGAAACTCCTTTTAAAAATCGTTTACTTTTTTTTTTTGGTATTCTAATTCCATTTTGGTCCTTTTTGTTTGTTACATCTTTGATTTGCAGAAAAGAATGAAGTAGGATAGAAATTGTATAAAAAAGAAGCAAAGAGGTCGTACCTAACATTGGAACACAAAGAGAAGGTTAACGAGAACAGTGTTAGGATAAAATGTCATCTACAAACAGGGTTTTACAACATACGGATACTCAGATCAACACAGTAAATGAAACATATAAGTAGGTTCCCTTTTGGTAATCTTTTTTACCTTCTTTTAATATCAGATGCAAGAACTGGTTCTTTGGACAAAGGCTGCATTTTACTTACCATGACTGTACCAAATGCTTGTGTTTTTTTCCTTGGTGCTCGCTTGTAGACAAAGGGTACGCAGCCAAAAAGCGTCCAAAAGGTTGAAACTTTAATTAAAGGTGCACATTTTAAGTGTACACTGAACAAAAACTTAGCTGAAGAGTCCAATTGAACGAAGTTATGGAATAGGCCGAAATTTAAGTAAACCGGACCGAATCGTCGAAATGCAATTCTCTTCGGTTCAGTTTTGATCGAACCATGGTTAGATTAGTACTTAAATGGAGTTAAACCAGAATCTATTGTGTTTATTTATGACGATTAAATTACTTCTAAGTTACCATATAAAGGAAACGTTTCCATTCTCACTCCACGCTAGCATCTCTCTCTCTATGTATCTGCGACATAGATTTTGATTTGACATATTTCAAATGTTAAAATGAAAAAGAGAAGTAAACTTGTCCAATTAATCTTCTAAAAAGGTCTCGAAAGAAAACACAAAAAAAGCTTTGCTTTCATCTTCTTTCTTTCTTCTCCTTGATGGATTCACGAAAAGAGGGTAACTTGGTTGAAACCCAGTTTCTAAAACCTTATGTAACCTCCATTGATGGTGCTGTAGCTGAGCTTCCTCGTCACTGTCTCCGTGTTTCTTCATCAGACCTAAAGGAGTCATTTTCCAGGATTTCTTTCAATGGGTTCTGGTCTGCACGTGCTGATTTCAAATCATGGGCTAAAAAAATGGAAGCTTTGCACGAACCCACTTGGAGAAAAGCTGGGATTTTCGAGGCAATCAAGGCATCGACATACAAAATCCCTAAAAATGACTCTTTGGTTCTAGCTCTCGTAGAGAAATGGTGTCCTGAAACCAAATCATTCGTCTTCCCGTGGGGTGAAGCAACGATAACGCTCGAAGATGTACTGGTGCTTCTAGGGTTTTCTGTCTTGGGTTCTCCTGTTTTCGCCCCTTTAGAAAGCTCAGAGATGGGAGATTCCGTTGAGAAACTGGAGAAAGCAAGATTTGAGAAAAGAGGTCGGGATGGTCAAACGAGACAAGGACTATGGGTTTCGAGCTTCTTGGGTAGAGGTGATCAAATGGAGCATGAAGCTTTTCTTGTAATGTGGCTTTCGCAATTAGTTTTTCCGGATATGTCCCGTCGTTCTATTTCGAGAAAAGTTCTCCCTATTGCTGTTCGTTTAGCTAGAGGCGAAAGGATTGCTCTTGCTCCTGCTGTTTTAGCAAGACTGTACAGTGATTTGGGTCAAATTCTAGCTTTTGCTAGAGACAAGTCCGCTCAAAATTTAACTCTGAGATCACTGTTTAAGTTAGTCCAAGTATGGGCATGGGAGAGATTCGAGAACACCAGACCAAGAGTTGGAGAGATATCAAAAGGTGAACCTAGAATAGCTCGATGGGTCTATTCGCAACAAACATCTGAGAATGTGAGATTGAACCTTGATGATTTCGATTGGCGTCCTTACACTAAACCTTTGAAGAATTGGAACCCTCCTCGGTTTTACCCTGAAGAAGCTATGTGGATGACTGCTGATGACAATCTTGATGATGAATTTGTTTCGTATGCTCGATGTATGAGGGTTTCTCATCTTGTTGGGATGGATATTGTGGAGGATTACTATCCGAATCGAGTGGCAAGGCAGTTCGGTCTGGCTCAAGATCTTCCTGGCTTAATTACTGATCAAAGAAGCTTCACGGAAAAGGAGGCATGGGATGATTACAATAAGTCTCTTGATGGTTTAAAGCTGTACTTGCCTTCTTGTCTTGCTCCGACTTCTGTTACTGAAAGATATCAAGACTGGTGGTTCAAATCTATTTCAAAGTTTCTGATTCCTTCAGAATCAACTGAAACTTTCAATGCAAGTAATACAATTGATGATGATGATGATGTGCAGCCTTTGGGTCAAGTGTTTCAGAAGTTGGGAGAGAGCTTTCTTCGGAAATTCAAACGATTTAAGACGCGCAGGTTAGCGAAAAATCTGAGATTCAAGATAAAGAAAGACAAGATTTTTGATAGTGGTGCTTCAGCTTCAACAGAATTGCCACTTAGTCAGTTGTTTAAGGAGGAGTTGATATTCAAGAGAACAAGTGAGCATTTAAGAAACAAGAGAAGCAAGCGAGCTCGTGAGGATGATGAGAGTACTATGGATCACAAAGACGATGAAAAAGATGATGACATTACTATTGCTCAGATTAGCAAATCTAGAACTGGAAGGACTGACAAAAGTGGAAGTAAAGCAAATAAGAGTATGGTTCAGAGACCATCTAATGAAAACAACTCTTCAGATCCTCCTGTCGATTCTCATGAAGATATAATTAAAATTGCTGTGTCACCACCAGAGACAAGGCTAACATGTGATGATAAGCTTCATGTAAATGGAACCAAGGAAGAAGAGGGTTTGGTCCATGAAGATGGAGAAAAGCAGAGATGCAATGAGAATCTGCGCAGTGAAGCTGAGAAAGAAGAAGATATTGATGAAAGATTGAAACAGAGAAAGCTTTCAATAAAGGAGATAGAACTGAAGCTGGAGACACGTATCATGAAGGTGGAGAAGAGTTTGGCAATGATTAGAATATGGAAAACCAGAAGAAACCAGACCAATAATGGAGTTTGTGCTTAATTAAATGTGTCTAAACTATCTGATCTGAAACTTTTCAAGAGGATCTCATGGAAAGAAACACTACAATGTAACAATTACTTAATGGTGGTGTGATTTGTTTTTATTAATGTTTTTGGTTCTTTTGCAGTAGTTACATGTAGAAGTACAATGGTGAACTAAAGAGTGTTTTAAAAATTGATATTAGAATATAATAATCAAATTTAATTAAAATGATGGTTTAATATTTTATGATTTGTGTCTTAAATAGGACTCATTCAGAAGTGTCTAAAATAATATTAAAATTAGTTAGTTGGTTTAGACACTTTTGATAAATGTCACCATTAAACATGCTCTAGTACGTAGAACTCACAGACACAAAGCTTATGTATTATGTTTTGTGTGTTGGTTTGGTTTGTGTAGACCATTTTGATTTATGGTTTGGTTCGATGTATCAATTGATTTGGTTTTTATTGGTTTAATCATAAATGTTCCCTGACGGTGGTAGAAGGAACAGTATCTCGGAGATCAAGATCCGTCAGTTTTATCAATGTGCTTGAATCCTTCATCAAGCTCGTCTGAAAAACACCATAAAGGTTTCAAATTTATGCGAAATTTGTGAAACTCTGAAAAGGGTTATGTCAAATTAGAAGAGACAGGACAGAGATATGGTGAGGAAGCACAAGTACGGGAAGGTAGTGTTGGTTTCGTGCATCGCGCTTCTAGCTACCGGACTCATTGCTGACTTCCTCTGGGCTACTTCTCATCGATTCTCGTCCGGTGTAATCTCCGCCGGATTATCTCTACCTTCTTCCCTTACCACCGTAATCGTTCCCGGCCAGGTGAATTGTGATCTCTTGTTGATGTAATTAGATCTCAACATCTGATATTAGCAACATCTAGCTTCAGGAATATGATTCTTACTTTATACCTGATGTCAGATAATTGCATTGAGGTTGTGAGTGGTGAATTTACTTTGTTTTGCTGCTTTTAGGAGAAGGATACTAAGAAGAAGAAGGAGAGTGTGAAGGAAAGGAAACTATCCAACACATTTCAAGATTTGCCTGCTCCTGAATTGAAATGGGAGAAGATGGCAGCTTCGCCTGTAGCTCGTCTAGATGGAGCTGCAATTCAGATTAGGGATCTTTTATATGTATTTGCTGGATATGGAAACATTAATCTTGTGCATTCACATGTTGATATCTACAATTTTACGGCTAACTCGTGGGGAGGAAGATTCGATATGCCTAAAGAGATGGCGCATTCTCATTTAGGGATGGTAACGGATGGGCGATATATTTTTATTGTAACTGGTCAGTTTGGTCCGCAATGCAGAGGTCCTACAGCTAAAACATTTGTGCTTGATACTGATACTAATACATGGAAGGACTTTGTTCCTTTACCAGTTCCTAGGTACTGTGAAACAAGAAGATAAAATTTCGGAAATACTAGTTGACTTGTTCATGTTTCTTATTGTATTATGCTATGTGTTTCTCTTTTGATGATGGACAATGTTGAGAGAAATGATTAACAAGTTTAACATTCAGGTATGCACCAGCTACTCAGCTTTGGAGAGGAAGACTCCATGTGATGGGCGGAAGCAAGGAGAATCGATTTACACCAGGACTTGAACATTGGAGCATTGCAGTTAAAGATGGCCAACCATTAGAAAAAGAGTGGAGAAGTGAAATCCCAATCCCTCGCGGAGGACCTCACAGGTTATTATTTAACAGTAATCTTTTAACAAGTTATTGTGGGTAATACATTTGACGAAATAAAATTTTAAATCCTCTTTTGCTCTCTATGTGTCATTGTAGGGCATGTGTAGTAGTTGATGAGCGACTATTTGTAATTGGTGGTCAAGAAGGTGATTTCATGGCTAAACCTGGATCTCCCATCTTCAAGTGCTCACGCCGTATGGAGGTATTGGATTCATACCTTCCACAACTTTGATTCCGGTTAATTATGCTCTATATCATGAGTTCTTCAACTTTGATTTTCAGGTGGTATTCAGTGATGTCTATATGTTAGATGAGGAAATGAAATGGAAAGTTATGCCGCCAATGCCAAAACCGGATTCCCATATTGAATTTGCTTGGAAAGTGGTCAATAACTCCATTGTAATCGTTGGAGGCACAACAGAGAAGCATCCTGAAACCAAAAAGATGGTTCTTGTCGGCGAAATCTTCCAGTTCAACTTGAATACACTGGTAAAATACTTGAAGCCTTTATGGTCAAACCTGTCCATGATTCGCGTGACACTAATGATTTTGGCTTTCTCTACAGAAATGGTATGTGATTGGGAAATTACCATACCGTGTGAAAACAACGCTAGTTGGATATTGGGACGGACAATTATACTTCACTTCAGGGCAAAGAGACAAGGGTCCAGATGATCCTGGTCCGAGGAAGGTCATCGCAGAGATGTGGAGAACCAAACTGATACTCCATCCATGAGGCAAGCAAAATTATCATTGATAGAAGATTTCATAGTGGTAAAGATCACAATATTCTGCATTCTTTGAGCCTAATTTGAAACAAGTCCTTACAGTATATGTTTACATCCCCTGTCATGAGAGTTTGTATATTGTAAACTGATTCAGAATCTATATATAAAGTTACAATCTGAAAACACAGCTTTGTGTGCTTAATCAGAGAGTTTGTAATGATGGGATTCCAGTTCTGGTTTATCAATACCGTTTTACACAACCTGCTAATTTACAAAAAAGGAACCACCACTACTATCACATGCTTTTTCCAGGTCTTTGTTGATTGTCTAGATCAGAGAAGCCAAGAACAAGCTCCACCATGAAAAGCTCTCCGTCAAATCTTAGACCAGATGATGCTGCAGGCTGAAGAAGACCATCAACCATTCCGCCAAACACATATACAAATCTCCCTGAACGATCAGCGCAGGCACGGTGAAAAGACCGACTTTTTGGTCCATATGAGATTTGGTCAAGCTTTCTCCACACCGAAGATCCGTTTAAACTAACTCCTTGTGGCTGCAAACCTGAAGAAGGAATGGTTTTAACATCCAACACCCAGAAATCATCTTTCCTATGCCTATAAGAATCTTCACCCCCATAAATCAAGATCCGACCTCCCAATACTAGAGTCGCTGAGTGACCAACCCGAGGCAGTGATGCATATTCGGGGACATCCCGGAAATCGTAGAATATCTGTATCCATTTTTCTTCACACGTTTCTTGAATATCCAAGATCCAAACATCATCTAGCACATCATATCCTAATCCTCTGCCTCCAAACAGAACCACTTGGTTTTCTCTAATGCAGGTCAGCGTATGTCCTGAGCGTGGTGGCGGTGATTGTTGAGACTCCACCATGTGCCATGTCCCAGATGTTGAATCTTCAGAAAGTTCTAGAATCCATGCATCTCCAAGCCTGACTCCGTTCAGCCCAATTCCTCCATGTACAACCATCTTAGTCTCTGCAATACAACAGGCGGAATGAGCTCCACGAGGAGGAGGACGAGGCCGCTGCAGAGGTCCAACATCGAGGAGTTTCCAAGAGAGTCTCTCATGGCAAAAGACTTGACCAATCCATGTATCGTTGAGCCGTTCTCCACGGTCATTTATTCCACCAAATAAGAGTAGATACTCGCCTATAACAATGCAGGTGTGTCCAAATCTTCCACTTGGAGTCCCTGATTTAACTTTCTTCCATTTCAATATCTTTTGATTGCTCTTGTCAACATATGATGTCCACGTATCATCAAGATGTCTCCCTGAAAAGAAAAACAAAGCAATATACACAAAGATCTCAAGTTGAATGAAGCAATTACCTAATAATCCAACTACCATCATTGTCGTGTGCCTAACACACTCATCAAGCAAACAGAAAAGTAACCGAAAACTCAGACCCGATCACATGGAAAAATCGATCTGCTTTCCAACAAAAGTTAAGAAATCAGAAAGATGATAATTTAGCTTAAGCAAGCAAAAGCTAACCTCCTTGACAACCACCACCAAAGAGAACAAGATGATCATTAACGAAGTTGAGAGAATGAGAAGCTCTAGGGATCGGGAAAGAAGAAAATTCCTCATCATCATCATCTGGGTCTGAGATCTTGTGACAGCAAACAGAATCCATCTTATAAACTCGCTGAAACATCATCATCCACGAAAACCCATCTCGTAAAGATGACAACTTTAAAGCATCCACAGACTGCGAGCCCCATTCTCGTTCGCAGAGAGCTTCCCAGAGACTGTCGGAACAAGCTAGAGACTTGTATCTCTTGCAGGTCATGGAGAAAGAGAGGATTGAATCTACGGGAAGCAGAAGCAAGATGGTTAAGAGATGGTCATCGGGTAAATTAACTATAGGGCTTGACCACGACTGAGAAGTAGACGGCGGAGATGAGTTTCTGGCTGATTCCGCCGCCATGAGATTGAAATCGGAGAAGGATTTGATTTGTTGGTGAGAATTATTGGGAATGATGATGATTGTCGTATCGTCACTGTCTCCGTCTTACTACTATACGGTAAAAAAATTTAATAAAAATCCTTCCTTTTTGTTTTTTTTCTTTCCTTCTTTGGATAAAAATTGCCCGCACAAATTTTCAAACTTTTTCAAAACTTCGGAAACACCCCACTAAATTTATGTGAAATCTACTTTTCCGACCCCAATATTTCAGTAAATTGCATCTTTCACGGCGTATCACAAGTTTCAAACTTTTCTGAAAGATTTTAGTTAACGCCCAGATATTTTTGAGAACTTCTGCTTCTAGCATAATATTTGCATATAATTGCATCTATCTCCCAGTGTTCCACAAATCACAAATTTTTTAGAAACTTCGCAGACATCCCCAATTTGTGAGAAACTCCTTTTCTAGCTTATATTCCAATAAATTGCACCGTACTCCGAGTATTACAACGTTCAAAATTTTAGAAACTTCGTAAACGCTCCAGAGCCTCTGTTTCTAGCTCTATATTTTCAATAATTGCATTTTCTCCTAGTGATGATTATACAAATTTTTGTCATTATCTCATAACATTCAATCTTATCACAATCTATTTAATTGTCTAGATTTCATTTACTCTAATGGAGATTTTACACACTGCTCTCTTCATCAAAGTGTTGTGTCATTTCCGCAAATACATCAAACTGT